CAAGATTCAGCTGTGATTAATTGCTACAGAGATGATGTCAGTGATCAGGAACGATGCGTCGTACGCAGACACACAAGTCCTGTCTATTCAAGACCGACTCTTTGAGGATGTTTAAACACAACTTCACAATTGTTCAGTTTGTTGCTTCAATATTTCTACTTTAGGAACTTTTAGGCAGAGGTGGAATAAATATTCAAGCATTTACTTAGAAAGGTAAGTGATAAGTTAAAGTACAAAGCAACCTAATTGTATTTAAAGTATCAAAAGTAAAAGTAGTCGTTTGACAGAATGTTGCAGCTGGTAATTATTATTGATGCATAAACATGTAAAAAGTACTTTAATGTTATAGCTGGTTGAGGTGGAGCTAAATTTCTTATATGCTCTTGGGTAGTTCAATCCATGACACAGCATCATTAACTGGGTTTTGTTTGTAAAATCCTTATTGGAAAAGCAATAGCTAATAAATAAGTGTAGTGAAGTACATAAATATTTTCCTCTAAGGTATCTCAAGTAAAAGATATCTAAAAGATATACAGTACTTGAGTAAATTACTTCCATCTTCTTTGGAAACTATTATAAAAGACGCATAATCAAATGTTTTCTTAAAGAAGAAGTTTGGTGTATTATGTAGTTTTTTCGATTTCAGCAGCTCCCAGTCGCTCAAACAGCTTTTCCTTGTTTGCCTTGATTCTGTTGGTCTTTCAGCCTGTCTGGTTTGTGGGAGTGATAATAATGTCACGCAGAGTACAACATGTCTGACCTGGCAGAGATAAACCAGGTGTGTGAGTGTGAAGAACAACCAAGCATGAAGGGTGAAAGCCTGTCACATTACAAAACATCATCTTAACAGCTGTCAAACGCAAGAGAGGCTTCGTGTCATTAAAGATGCCGTACAAATACAAAACACAAGCTCGAATCCGGTTGTTAGTGTCATTATTATACAGTAGATCCGGGTACACATTGACATAGCCACAGTTAAGTTTGACATGGCAGGAGACACGGCGCGGTCTCCTCCTACTTAAGGTAAATAAGCTATTTAATATCGCCTCAGATTAGCTGGAAAATATAACATCACAAAGCTGCTTCTTCGCCATATTGATTTGTCTTCCAGTGTTTTAAAAAATGAACGTCACTGTGTTCCCCTCGTCCAAGGCCATAGGCATGAAGTGAACACTGGGGGGCAGTTGACCTGCCTGTTGTAGAAAAGCAATATATAGCCTATTAATATATTGGGGGGGGTATGTGAAAAAATTAAGAGACCGCTGCTGAATTATCAGTTTCTCTAGTTTTACTTTTTATGTGTTTCAGTATAATTCACATTTTTGTTTTATTCTATTGCAAAGCGTAGCTATTTGACTGAAACACCACAGTTTTCTGTGGTTTTCAGCAATACAAAGGAGAAAACCGGTTAACCCTACCTGCTAGTGTGCAGATGTAAGCATGGGCGTTGGGGGAACAATAAACATAAAATTTCTCAAGAGCAATTTTTGAAGGGGGCACTTATAAAACAGCCAAAATTGTACGTGTATAGAATACTTGTACACATAGTACACATGTAGTCTTACTACTATTATTAGTGTAGCATGCAGACCGTGATGTTACCAAATTGCCTGACTTTTTGTACTTACTTGTTGATTTTCTTTTCTCTGTCATTATTTGTGGCAAACAACACAAAGCAATAACTAATCTGCCACTTAACATCATAATTCGCAAAATGGTTTTGCGGAAACCCAACACAACGGTAGAGTGATGGTTTTAACCTAATATCAGTTCACACGCAGGCTTATCGCTGTGTTAGTTGTAGTAAGAGATCCACAGATAAAACTTTTTCCTGGCTGATTCCAATTACTAATTTTTTTTTATTTTTATTAGGATCCCCATCAGCACCAGTATAAATGTTGGCTATTCTCACTGGGATCCATTCAATTGTATGGTCATAATGAAACATTGATTATTAAATAAAATTCACATTTTCACTGAAAGGAGCTTTGTACAAATAGTCCACAATCCAACTGAAAATATATTAATATATTATATATAGGCTACAGTATATTATAATTAAAAGTATTTGAAAGAATGTTATCCCATTTCTAATCTCACTATTTTAATTCTACTTAATTCTCCACCTTTAAACACAATCTACAGTAATCTGCTCACCTTGCTTTCCCCTTCAGACGCACATGCTCTCTCTCTCTCTCTCTCTCTCTCTTTCTGCTCCGACTTTATTTGTCAGCAATTTTATAAAAGACTGAGCACTTTTTGTATTTTTTCACCCGCAATTCTGTTTTCCCAGCAGCAGATGAGCGGCGTGTGGAGGAGGCTTGTTAAATACCGATGCTAATGAATAACATCGCCACCAACAGCTGTGTTCACTGTTGCTTTACCTCGTCCGTGCTTTACAACAGCCTATCCATCTTCTAACGTGATACAGGAACCGTAAGGTTAGCCGGTCGACATGCATACAATCACTGACTTGGTTAAGGCACAAACCCCTATGATGGCTATGGTAAGGTTAAGGTGCTTCGGGGGCTGTCAACGGCTTTAAAACAAACGTAGCTAGCTAGCTTGTGCTTGAGCTTTGTGACATGGTGCATTATCCTGATGGAAATAGCCATCAGAGGATGGGTACATGGTGGCCATAAAGGGATGGACATGGTCAGAAACAATGCTCAGGTAGGCCGTGGCATTTAAACGATGCCCAATTGGCACTAAGGGGCCTAAAGTGTGCCAAGAAAACATCCCCCACACCATTACACCACCACCAGCCTGCACAGTGGTAACAAGGCATGATGGATCCATGTTCTCATTCTGTTTACGCCAAATTCTGACTCGACCATCTGAATGTCTCAACAGAAATCGAGACTCATCAGACCAGGCAACATTTTTCCAGTCTTCAACTGTCCAATTTGGGTGAGCTCTTGCAAATTGTAGCCTCTTTTTCCTATTTGTAGTGGAGATGAGTGGTACCCGGTGGGGTCTTCTGCTGTTGTAGCCCATCCGCCTCAAGGTTGTGCGTGTTGCGGCTTCACAAATGCTTTGCTGCATACCTCGGTTGTAACGAGTGGTTATTTCAGTCAAAGTTGCTCTTCTATCAGCTTGAACCGGTCGGCCCTTTCTCCTCTGACCTCTAGCATCAATGAGGCATTTTCGCCCACAGGACTGCCGCATAATGGATGTTTTTCCCTTTTCACACCATTCTTTGTAAACCCTAGAAATGGTTGTGCGTGAAAATCCCAGTAACTGAGCAGATTGTGAAATACTCGTCTGGCACCAACAACCATGCCACGCTCCAAATTGCTTAAATCACCTTTCTTTCCCATTCTGACATTCAGTTTGGAGTTCAGGAGATTGTCTTGACCAGGACCACACCCCTAAATGCATTGAAGCAACTGCCATGTGATTGGTTGATTAGATAATTGCATTAATGAAACAGGTGTTCCTAATAATCCTTTTAGGTGAGTGTAGTTCGGCTTTGTTTGATGGCTTGTGCCCATCCATCTTCCTCTTGAGGTGGAGACTGGGCTGCTGATGACAGTGTCTTGATATGTCGGTCCTCCATCCACACCTTGATTGACCTGGCTGTGTGGCAAGGAGCATTGTCCTGCTGAAAGAAAACAATTCTCAGAGTTGGGGAACAGAAGGCGGAGACAAAACTGCCAGATTCCAGCTTTGCTGAACCCCCAGATCACCACCGATCCTCCACCAAATTTCACAGTGGGTGGGAGACACTGCGGCTTGTAGGCCTCTCCAGGTCTCCGTCTAAGCATTAGACGACCAGGTGTTGGGCAAAGATGACCTTTCTTCAGTCCTCTACAGTCAAACTCTTTTGCAAACCGCAGGCTGGCTCGTCTTTGCTTTTTTCTAGCTTTGCACATCTTCAGCCCTGCCTCTAGGAGCCTGTTTCAAACCATCCTCCTCGTGCACTTCACCCCAGTTGCCGTTTTCCCATTCTTTTTGTAGGTCACTTCATGTCATACGGTTGTTGAGTGACTTTTGAATGAGTTGGCGGTCATCCCGGTCAGTGGACAGTCGTTTTCGCTCTCTGCCAGTCTGTAGCTTTATTGTCCCCAGGTGTCTGTTGCTTGACCTTGTTCTTATGAACCACCGTCTTTGAAATCACTGTAAAGCCAGAATAGAACTTTTCTTTCTCTTTTGCCATTGTCAGCTTTTCTTTTTTTGAATTCAGATTTAATTTGAAGTACTACTAGCACTGTTGCAAGAGGATATTGATGACCACAGCAGTGGTTTTTATTCTTTTACTTGTTAAATAAGATTTGGTTCATGTGATCACTTAATCAGCACCTCATTAAGTAGAATGAGGTGTGAATGTGTTGGAATTTAACAGACACTGGAGGAAGTGGTGTCTTATTTTTTTGATGATTGCAAAAAGAACAAAAATTAGACCCAGAAACCGGACTTATCTTTTTAATGTCCATCCCTGAGAGTCTCCAGGTGGAGACAGAAAGCTGCTGAGTCACTGAGCAATAACAAAGCGGATCACAGAGGAGAGAAGAAGGACTTAACCGGATTCCTAAATGACTCCTACGCTTCCTAAAGAGACAGTTTTAAACAATGACCCGGTGTTTGCTCTGTCAGTCTGCGTCTCAGCACCATCTCAGATTGTTTAGGTCTTAATGGATGGCCTCTGTTTACTTTCAGCCGTTTACTGTTGGATCATCTTACACCTTTTTTACCTGGGAAGCTTCGCCTGACCTGCAGAGGCAACAGATAAGGACTCCAAATTGTTGAGGCAACGTTACTCTTACAAAAAAAAAAAATCAAATTTCATATTTTTATCACATGTGGAAGATTATTTCACACATGATAAATCCACATATAAAGGAGCATTGAGTTTTCACATGAAATATCACACAAACATTTCACAAATAATATTTAATATTTAACATGTGAACATGCTTTTTTGTGTGGGATTCTTGTAATTTGGTTAAAATTGGTTCAATCAGTTTAAACAGCTGATAGTTTAAATAATAAAAACATAGTTAACAAGTTTAATGTCTTTATTAAGCACCTTTATAGAAAAATATACTTACAGCTTTACCAATATATTTAATACGCACAGTTCCAATGCAATTTAAACTTTCCCTTTCATAACTAAAACATGGAAAAAGATGGACCTTCAACAGTTTGAAAGATTGCAAAATATGCTTATTTGCTTTCTTCTGGAGAAGATTGATGCTCAACACTCTTTCGTTCGTTTGATATGAAACTACAGTCGGTTAGCTAAGTTTGGCATAAAGACTAGAAATGGGGAAACAAATAGCCTGGCTCTGTCCATAGGTAACACAATCTAGCAGCTCCTCTAAAGCTCACTAATTACTACATGATATCTTATTTGCATAATCCACACTACCTTTGCTCCGTTTGCACCTCGCGTTCAGACTAAAATGGCAAAAATGAAGACCTAAAACGGAGAAGTTTGGAAACGCTGCCAACCCTGTTTTTCATTTTGAAACTCCGTAGAGCGCTTTAGTGCAGAAACGGAGGACTTTAGAAACGCAGTCGCTCACGTTTGGCTCTCTCTTATTGGGTCTCATAAGTCATCCAAAGTAGAAACATGATGCTGCTGACAGTTTTTTTTTTTACAGGGCATTTGTATTAAAATATTTTGTATTGTGCAAATAACACTAATACTTTACACTTGTACTGTGCATGTCGCCATATTTATTTTGCGACGACTCCCAGTCTGTTTACAAAAATGGTCTGATTCTTCATCTGTGTTTATTTATTCTTTCGCCAAATCTTCTGTAACTACGGAATAGACCATCTGCTTCATGTTTAATACTGGCACGCGCCTGCCCAGTGTACCTGAACGGCCACTAGATGTGCGTTTTCAGTCGTTTTAATGTAGACGGAAATCAACTCTGATACGCAGCTAAAACGCTGGTGTGGACGGAGGTCGTATTCGTTTTTAAACTTAAACGGAGTAGTGTGTATGGAGCCTTAGAGGTGATACCTTTGGACTGAACCAGTCCATCTGTTTCCCTCTGCTTCTAGTCTTTATGCTAAGCTAGGCCAACAGGCAACTGGCTGTAGTTTCATATTTAACGTACAGAAAACAGTGGTATCTATCTTCTCATCTAATTATCGAAAGCGAATAAGGTTTCTTTCCGAAGATGTAGATTTATTTATACACAAATTATTTCCGTTGAGGTGAAAGGGGGAGAAAACAGACTCCTTTTTATTTACTTTACATTTCTAGGTGCATTTGGTGTATTTTTCCTTCACCACATGTCTTTATGCTGCCGGGAGACATAATAAATCTTTAAATAAAGTCCTGGAGTTGGTTATGGATCAATTGTAACAGGAGAGAAGATTTCGCCTTCGGGTCTTCTGCTCTGGTCTGGAGAAGTAAAAGTCACAACTCTCCTCAGAAGTAAAGTCTTTCAGCGTCACATCGTCTTCTTGAGTTTCCTTGTTGTCATCACGAGCCTGAAGACGATCTGTGAGCAGCATGATGGTCTTTGTACAGAGGACTCAGAGGTTTCCTGTCCTCTGCAGAGACAGCAAAACAGAAATTAAATCATTTATCATCACCAACATTTTTTATACCTTCCCTTCATCAGTTTTCTGAGGGTGTCAATTACTCACGTGACCACAAACACCAAGCATTCATAACAGCATTACAACCATAGATAGAATAAAATTTTTACAGAATACATTATATCCCAATGGTAGATTTATCCTCCTAAATATTTACAAGAAATTTACATTTCAGTAAAGCCCTACCCATCAATAGGGAAACAGGTTAACTCCGGACTCTTACTCATCTCTTAACACTTAGGGATAACTCAAACTAATCTTGCACTTCATTTCCAGTAAGTAGAGCCAGACCATGACCTTCAATAAGCTATTTTAACCTTAAAGGATACTGCTGGTGATATTCTGTACTTTTGTCAACAAATCCAATGAAAAGACCAAAAACAACACCTTGTTAGTCCATCTGTCAATACTGTCTGACTGTCTGTGGCTCTCAGCGCCAAGCCCATTGGTTCCTGCTGAACATGCTGATGAACAGCTCACAAATATAGTTTCATTTTTAAAAACAGCTGCTCACTGTAGTTGTTAACAAACATTTTGTTGATTTTGTTATTATCAGTCCATTTAAATTAACAGTGAAGTACAGTTGGGCATGAGTGTAATAATTCTGACATTATAAGAGATTAAAAAGTTAAAGTGTGATTATATCCTGACAAATTCACTACCAGACTCCGAAATGCTACGGTGATATCACAGGAGATAAATCAGACCAATCCGTATGAACTTGCGTCATTGTTAGGAGCACAGACGTAGTGAATTACATTTTGTTCAGGTGAGGCAAACTCATTTATTTAAACGTTGAACCTGCTGAACTCAGGTGATCATTATCTGTTGAGCTTTTACAAAGAACTGGTTCTGCCTGCTGTGTTTATGAGCAGCTGTAATGAGGCTTGAAGCTGCTGGTTGGAGATCAGATGTGGGATCATTATTTTGAACTTTCCCAGTTAAAATAAGATTTTAACAGTCTGTGCTGTACACAGGCCTACATGAGTGGTTTTCTGTCTGTAAAAACTGAAATGTAATAATTCAGATGACTGAAGATACGAACATTTATGTCTGGTGCACACTAGAGATTTAACTGATTAAAGTGGGATAGCTCAGACATAACAGCAGAATTAATAGATTTTTATATATTTTATCATAAGAATGCACCAGACGGTTCAGTCCAGACGCAGGACCACACACAGCGTTAAAGGTTACAGAGTGGCGGTTCCGGGAACTTTGGGATCTCACAGAAACTCGTGTGATCAAACGTGACTTCAGATTGACGTCGTCAGCTCCTTGCACTTGTCTGTGTTGTGTTTTGCACAGAAAAACACAAAAACATAATACAAATTGCGGATGAACCCGAGGCTAAGAAGAGGGAATCAGCAGCTTTACACATTTTATATCACAAGCAATTACACAACACGCTGGAGACGCTTCCTGGTCAGCTCGCTCTCACTGGCTGTTAAATATCATATTTAGCATCCGATCCAGTCAGCGATGCTAAGATTATGTCTGTAAACCCCTCACACTACATGATCACTTGGCCGATAATTGCTTCAGACCAGCCTCAGCTCGGGAACGCCCCCGGGATTGTCTGGAAGAGTTAATCAGACCCGAAATTTGCTAAATTATGTGCTGGATGCATACTGGAGGATAATTTAGCAGTTTACACAGCAGATATGATTCAATATGTCATCTGTATTTTATGTTGGAGCAATAAACAAACTAAATGTACATTTTTATTAAAACCAGCATCTGTTTCTTCTGTGTAATTTGGGACCATTTTATTCTCAACACGACCAGCCCTGTTTCTTAAAAACACAAACATTTGTGGTGGTTGAGTGGAGAAACGCAGCATTTAGCATAACATAAAGCCCCGCAGATGTGTTTTTATAGCTTCAAACGCCAGGATGGAAGTTCTGCGGCTTTTAGATGACAGTTTCTAACATTTGTAATTATCAGTTAGGCCACAGAGTCAACTTCCCCTTCAGCATCCATCCTCAAAAAGACTTAAATACAACAGCAGGCTGCAAGTAAAAATGTGAATTTAGGGGCGAAGAAAACATCCAGTTTGAGTCTAAAATCTTTCTATGAACAGTGTCAAAAACACAGCGTTTATTTTCACCTGAACAATGTCTGGATTAAACTAAATCAGTTTTAAAGGAGTATTTAAGTCAGTCTCACCGTCTCTTTGTGGAAGTTTGAAAGATGTTGCAGTGTGCAAGTCTGCAGCCTCCAGTGTTGCTGCAGGGCTGAGATGAGCCTGACTCTGAGTCAAACTGGAGCTCAGGCTGGGCTGGGGCTGCCAGGGGTGTCCAGTGCTCATGTAGTTGGCTGCTGGACCTCCGTACATGCCGTACTGGTTCGGTGGAGAATACGCACAAGCTGAGACATAACCAGGCAGACAGGACGAAGACTGAGGACAAAAAAGTAAAGGAAGAATTTAAGAAACATGAGTGAATGAAGATTGAAACCACTCAATTTACACTCTATACTGTTGGCACAGGATGAAAAGTCAAGATGTCACCAGAATCAACAGGATTCATCAGTAACTTTTATTGTAATTTGGTCTGCAGGTGTTTGAAAAACACTGCGGTGACCCAAAGTGTGAGACATGCAAGGCTCTCATAGTGAATCTTCCAGCTTGTGCAGTAAAACCCCCACAAATGGTTCAGAACGCAGCATCAGCCCAAAAGGACTCATGTCACTCCATTACTCAGTGACTGGCTCCCCGTGGCCTCCTGCATCAAATTCAAGCCCCTAATGCTGCATACAGAGCTACTGCTGGGTCTGCACCCATCTACCTAAACTCCATAATACAAGTTTACGTTCCTTCTCGGCCGCTGCGCTCCTCCAACGAACGCCGCCTGGCTCTGCCATCCCTTCCTACACAAAGCAATCCCAGTCCTGTCTGTTCTCATCTGTGACACCACGATGGTGGAACGAGCTACCACACGCCATCAGAGCAGGGGCGTCCCTCTCTAACTTCAAGAAGCTCCTGAAAATTCTTCAGAGAACACTTCATTTAATAACACCTAACCTCAAACCTCCAACATGCACTTCCTGTGCTCCTTTTCTTCTCTTGTACTGATTGAACTATTTCGTTAACTCGTAATTCTTTCCCTCAGTACAGTTTCACTATTTGTTCCACATGTGCTAATAGCTGTTACTAGTATCTTGTGTCACTTGTAGATCTCTTGCTATACTGATGCTTTATTGATGCTTGTATGTTGTTCCTCAAATATGTCACTTAGTGAGTAAATTTAAATGTAGACAGACTGACGGTGGTTAAACTGGTTAAACTGACACAGCGTTTATTTTACTTATTAACAAACTGAAGTTGTTCTGATAGCAGAGGAAGAGTTATCGTTGTGTATCAGTATACTGCTGACAGTCTGCAGCTGTTTCTATTTTCATAAAAGAGCAGGGAAACAGGAAGTGGGTCTCGATGACAGCCAATCAGAGCTCCGGATGCTTCTGTATGCCACCATATAAAAACAGAGCGGGCAAATGGAAAAACTAAAGCTGATGAATGTAAATGCAAAGTTATAAAATAAAAGTCATGTGTGTGTGAAAATTCAGCTGTTGATTTCTCTTCCAATAAAATTCTGCTGCTTATTCATCAATTTAATAATCATTTTTCTAGCTATTTATTCCTTTTTAATTTGACCTATTTACTGATGAGTCAACGTCTGTTATTAGTCCGTTTTTATTATCAAATTAAATGTTAATTTAGTTCATTATTAATTTTCTGCTTTGCAGCTTTAAGTATTTATTTGTCTCAAATAGGAAACAGGAAAATCCTCTTCTTTTGTTAGAGTTTATTTTATTTACCTGCTGCGGGTATTTGAGGTCTGGCTCGTTGTAGGTTTTCTCTGCTCCATTGATTCCAGGAGGAAACGGCCTCATGCTGGCCACACTGGTCATACTGGTCCAGTCCTCCATTTTGGCTGGGTGTCCCTCAGATCTAGGCAGTGCTGAAAGAAAACAAATTAACACAAATTTAACAGTAAATAATTTTACATTTTGGTGCACATCTGCAGCTGTTTCAATGCTTCATAGAACAAAACAAGTCCACCTCAAAAGATCAGTCCACCTTAAGCTAGTTAGTAGTGAATATTAAGTCTTCTTGTTTCAGGAAGAAAAATGTTTTACTTAAAAACATTCTCATGAAACAATCAGAACATAATTAAATCTTCTTTTTTTTTTCCTGTAACACAAAGTGAAGTTTCTTGTGTTAGTTTTTATTTTCTCGATCACAGTAAACAATTTTTCTTGGCACATTTATAAAGTTGTTTAAGTAGCTATTAATCAGAGTTTCAACCAAACTGATGGTCCTTTTCATCATAAAGCAGCTCCAGAATTAGAAACAACATTTTTTAAGCTGTAACACAGTGTAGTCCTCCTTTACAGACGATTAATGCAGTAAAACATAATAAGAAATTATTAAAATGTAATAATTCGTCAATTAAATAACTGAAAATAGATTAAAATAAAAAAAGGAACCTTAAAGCTGTTCTGCATTTTGGAACTTAAATTAAATACTTTTATTAAATCAATGTGAAAACTTATTTATTATCAAGCTGAAAATCTTCGTTTTGTTGTTGAGCTCACTGATTGTTTTCAAAGAACTATTATTGATGAGAAAGATAAATTTGCTATTGTGCTTTTTCCAGATATTTTATACGTCGCTAATCTGCTTTTAAAGCAGGTTTTCAAAACAAAACCTTCAAATGTGTTTAACGGCACTTGCGGACAAAAAAACTGCAGCTATAGGTGGAATGTAAATAAGTACCTTTACAAGTACTGTACTAAAGTTAAAAAAATTTTTAATGAAAAATAAATAAATAGAATAGAATAGATTTTTTTGTACACTAAACATACAAAGAGTTAAAGAAACTTCTAAAATATGGATTTAAAATCCCGTTATAACTAGGTGATTATGGGCGAGGCAAAGTCATTTCAAATACAAGAGGTGTAAAATGCCAAGAAATGCATTAAATCATTGCTTAAAAAGCATTAAAGAGGAAATAAAACAAAATATAAAATCAATTAAATGGAATCATAAATACTATTTTACCTTTATCTTTAAATAATATTTCACTTTCTCTTTTATTTTATTTATCTACTGCGTAATTCTGCTGAGACACTGTGTGTGGAAGAAACTTAATGTTTTGGGACATAAATGTTATTCTAGTTGTACATGGTAGCCTTTGTTTCTTGGACATTTTGGAGGCTAATAGTTTCACCAACAATAAATATATAGGGTGAAGTAAAATGGGTCAAATAAGGTTGGAGCTTTTTAACAGCCAATCGCAATTACTGATCTTGAATTATTGCCACATGGGCCACGTGTACACACAGGCAAAGAAAGTGAGGGTGCAAAACAGGTTCATAGTTGTATACATACATATATACATGTAAACAAAAAAAAACAGTGAATTGTTAAATCTTTTTTCAGTGAAATGTTTGTTCAACTTTTTAGTGCATGAAATATTTAAGACATTACTTTGTCACACCAAAGACAATAATGTCAGTTTCCTGCAAAAAAAATTAGATGATTTCAGCTAAAATCACTGTGTTGTTCTCTCTTTAGATTTAAGCTAACAGCTGATACTGGCAACATGCTGATACTCAAACGCTCATAATTACAAAACAATTATATATATTTTTTTAAATAAATATTTAAAACACATGCCAATTTATAAACATATCATTAGATCTCATGCATAGCTTATTTTAGCTGACTTCACCCTATTTATAAAAGGCCTAAATAGAACAATAACTAAATGAATGAATGCTCAATATTCTAAGTAATTTGTTTTTACTTTTATTTATCAGTTTGGTATTTATCACCCACCTAAACTCACTTGTAAAATTTCTATATAACTTATTTGTTTTTATTTTACACACCATTGATTCCCTCTTTACATACATTAATAAAATCAAACAGGCTAAAAAACTAGGCTAACAAAAGCCATGTGTGGCCGGATGCCCATCGGGCCAACGAGACGTCAGAAGATGTGAGAAACCGATTTCTATTTATTTAGCAACCGACCTGCCGGGTCCATGAAGGCTCGGATGCCCAGGATGTCGTGCCAGCTACGCGGCAGGCCAGCGTGTCCGGCGGGGCCGCTGCCGGTCCTGGTCCCGGTGGGGGCCACTGCGGGGCCAGTGTAGGAGGGGTACGGGTAGACGTGTCCGTACTGGAGCTGAGCCGGGACCGATCTGCTGCTCTCATACGGCTGTGAAACAGTCCCGAGTTTATTCCTGAGAATCCGGCTGATGGAGCTCACAGACGGGACGTTGTATTTGTCGCACACCCCGTCCGAGAGAAGCCGGTCCCGGATCTCCCAGGCGAAGATGCCCGGGTCGTCCTGCTTGTAGTCCCGGATGCTCTTGACCACGGCGGGGGTGGTGACCCGGGGCTTGCTGCCGCCGATGGCCCCGGGCAGGATGGAGCCGGTGTCGTTGTAGCGGGTCAGGATCTTGGACACGCAGCCGTGGGAGACCCGCAGCTGGCGGCTGATGTCGCAGGGCCGCATCCCGAGCTGCGCCAGCTCCACGATCCGCAGCCGCACCGCGCTCGGCAGCGGCCGGCCGTTAACGAACACCCCGCCGAGCTGGTTCACCTCCCCGTAGCTCTGCTCTGCGCACACGACACAGAACACGTCTGAATATAAAGGAGCAGGATCCATTCTTTCGCTTTATTAAGTAATAATTGTAATGGCTTCTCAAATGTTCTTACGTGATAATATATTTGTAAAGTTGGCCTAAAGTTAGAGGCGAAGGAGAAGAATGAGCTGCGGCAGATTTCTTTATTAGACAGTGATTTTAAATAAGCTACAGTTCTTGTTCATAAGCATATAAAGAGTTAAAATGAGGTTAATAAAATTTTTAATAGGAGTTAAATGAGGTCAATGATTTGTATAAGTAAAGCTCCTTCTACAAAAACGTCTTGTTATTACTGGATGATTTTTAGGCCTGTTGGCACCAAACGTGAATAACAAATTCTGTTGTTTTTCCAGCTATTTTTTCGTTGTATACCATTATGCTAATAAATTATTAAATACATAATTTGAATAAATAAGCCTATAACTTGTGTCCACAAATTTGTGTAATTATAATAATACTAATAAAAATGTATTCTTGTTGGTTAGACCATCTGCAATGAGGGAGATAATTATCATTAAAGGACTAATCAATTCATTTAAATTTCAGGTTTATTCATGTTTACCATTGAGGGGTTTGAAGAAAATTATAGACCTACAAGAAATTTAGCATTTTTGTATTTCTCATCTGATTTTAGTTGTCAGATATTACTTGCATAAACAAAACCCAATGAAACCTGAATAAATAACAATCAATCAATATAGAAGTGACTGCAGGTTGCAATCTTACAGCCTAATCTTTAATTTAATTGGTCAAGGAACCACTTTAACTAAAGACACTTTAAAAAAAGTCCACCAGGAACTCCACAGAAATTAACTTTCATTTTTAAGATGTAGTCATTTAAAAGACTTGCAGTGCAACAGCATGGGAGTTTGTGTTTTCATGAAACATGCTGTGTCCCCAACACAGCTGAGGGTCCACATGTCTCTACTTCTTTTTTATTTAATGTCATTTAAGGTGTTGAATACATTTCCATAGGCCTACACGCAGGAAGCAGCATTTCCTTGTTGTTTATATTATTATGCCATTCTTAATTAAAATTTTAACAGCTGAATTTCCAGAGTCAACTGCATCTGCATGCACAGTTTACAATTTGTTTAAATTACATCTTGGATTTATCTGACTTTGTAAAATAAACCATGAAAGTGAAGAACTTTTATCAGTTTGAGGAGATTAATGTCCAGTCTAAGAGGATACAAATTTCCATTAAATTACATTTCACTAAATCTGACTTTTCATTTACAAATAAGCAAGCAACAACAAAGAAACTTTTCCAAAAGAAAACCTTCAAAAGGGAGAGTGAAAATTTCCTTCTAGCCTGACATGAATGCACTCTCTCTGTCACCTTCAGCTGCTTTATATAGGAAAGTTTTTGTTGTCTCACCCATCAGCTGCTGTCTCACAGCGTCTCACCGCTCCACCATCCAACTCTCCGACTGCAGCCTGCAGTGATCTGAACTCCTTGTTCTCCTCCTCCTCCTCCTCCTCCTCCTCCGGGTGGAAGTCATGTCATAGTTTCCTGTTTGGAGAGCAGGAGGATCATTTAGCGTTAGCACTCAGAAAAACAAGCACACCTGAAGGGCTCTTTGGTGAATTTAAAGCTGCTCATTCTTTTCAAGTCCACATGTTTACAATGAACACATTATAACAGGCTGATGAAATTGGTTGATCCTCCTTTTGGCAGAAAAAAACTCAACCAAATGTTTCCCATAGCTGCAGATCAGACCTGAACAACGGTCAGGAGGAAATTTAGATCATTCCTTTTTACAAAACTGTTTCAGTTCAGTAATATTCTTGGGATGTCTGGTGTAAAGTCATGCCACAGCATCTCAATCAGGTTGCGGTCAGGACTCCAGAAGGCGTATTTTCTTCTGCTGAAGACATTATGTTGTTCATTTACTTCTGTGCTTTCGGGTCGTTGTTTTGTTGAGCTTCAATTGGCAGACTGATGGTTTGACATTCTCCTGCAAAATTTCTTGATAAACTTTGAAATTAATTTTTCCATCAATAATAGCAAACCTTCCAGACCCTGAGGCAGCGAAGCAGCCCCAAATTCATGATGCCCCCTCCACCATACTTCATAGTTGGGATAAGTTTTTGATGTTGGTGTGCTGTCCCTATTTTCCTCCACACAACCAACGAAACCAAACTTGGTTTTGTCGGTTCACAGAATATTTTGCCAGTAGTGCTGTGGAACATCCAGACGCACACAGAAATTTCTGTGTTTAAGCAGTTGACAGCCCCCCCCGAGGCAGTTTGTCTTATTGTGGACTGATAAACATTGAGGATTTTAGAGATAGGCCTACTTTTGTAACCCTTTCACTATACCAGCTTCAACAAGTCAACAATTCTTATCTCAAGTTTTAACTCTTTTGTTCGAGGCATGGTTCACATCAGGCAACGCTTCACGAGAGCAACAAAATTAAAACTGATGTGTTTTTTTTATAGGTCAGGGCAGCTCTAACCAACACCTTCAATCCCAAATCATAGATTGGACTCCAGGTTGGCTGACTCCTGACTCCAATGTGTGAATGTTTACATGGTGTGTTCAATAAAAACATAAAAACATATCATTGTTTGTGTGGTATTAGTTGTGGTGACTTAGATGAAGATCTGGGCCCGTATTTATCAAGCTTCTCAGAATTACTCATAAGAACTAAGAACTGACTTAAAAGTAAAAAAATTCTTGACTCAAAGCTGCTTAAAAGTTAGTTATCAAGCATCATGGTCCTAATTTGAGTGAAGTGTAGGACTAAATCTTAAGTGTCACTCTTAGTGCTGATTTACGACAGTTTTGCGCCGCAAAAAAGATTTTGGATGACGATGTAGCCAAGGACCAATCACTGAATAGATTTCCTTCTTTTAGAATATTCTCAGATAAATTCACATTGAATGGTGAAATTCCTAAGAGGAGTTTATATTCAACACACGTTTAACATAAAGAATTTTCAAGAGAATACATTATGATACAGGCCCACACATTAATAAATGAAAGATAAAAAAGTTTATCTTTAGATGAGCACCATCCAAGGTGTCTATACTGCTCCTGTGAAGCCGGCTGTTTGAACTGTGTTTGCTTCTGTCGGATTACGGGGGTTTTGTTGGGAAGTCGATGAAACGCGTGACAGTGTGTGGAGCTGTAGTGCTATAATTGTTTCCATGACTATTCGGCTTATTGGTGGTTGTGACGGCCAAAATCATGTCCTGTGGCAAATAAACGAGGCGTCATCTCCACCTTCAGTTTAACAGAAAACGCATTACTGCGTAAAGTCAGTGGTGAGATGACGTCCCTCACCATCTGGCTGACAAAGATTATCTCTGCGCTGTCCGACCCCGTCTATTAACTGTGCGTCGTCAGAATTCTTCCTCTCCTCTCCTCATGTCTCCACAGCGCCATCACAAGCCCTACTGGCAGCTCCTGACCACTTGAGAGACCTCTGGAGCTGCCTTAAATAACTGGGAGAGTCAGAGTGATTCTCTGCTTTGAGAAATTTGATAACTTGCTTTTATTCTGAAGTTTAAAAGTAGGAGTAAATTTCATGAATTCTCAGCAATTAAGACTAAAATGGCACTTTGAGAAGCTTGATAAATTTCGGCCCAGATAACATGTTATGACCAATTTATTCTCTGGAATAAAAAAAAATTAATTCAGGTGCATATTGTAGACAAAGAAACCTGAACAGAAACTCCTCTGTTCATCACAGGGTGTTACAGTAAATGGAAGTTATGTGGATATTTGATACATTATTCAGCTCTGCCAGTCATCCATCATAAATACAGGTGTCGCTAAATTTGTTCCAGGTTCCAGGTTTTCTCAACGATTTGAGGAGACAACTT